ACTTTGTTCAAATCTTTGGCAGTTTCCTCAAGTCTGAAATTAAAAAAAAAAGTCACTGATAAATCTTTTTGAATGACTCAGTACTATGTTGTGAGCCTCCTCCATAATACAGTATTAGTCTGTATTTGTATTTTCACTTGGCTGCTTAGAATCACTAAGTGGTCTTTCAGCATTTCCCAGGGTGTTTATATCCATTTTCCTTGGAAGAGGTGAGCATTGAACCTATAGGTTTTCTTTTTTTTTCCGTGCAGTCTTGAACTCTTTATTTGCTGTTCTATTTCTTTCTCTAGCCCCATTTTCTCTTCATCCATCCTCAAAAAGACCATCTGTTCTTAGCATAATTTTATGTCTGCTCTACCCTCCCTGTGTTCTATCTTTCCTCAATGCTTTAGGTGATAATGATTTATTCTTGATAAATTATGCACTTGGCTTTCACAACTTCCCACTTCTCTTTCCCCCGCTGCCATCCTGCCCCGGACTTTACTCAGCTAAAGACCGATGTAGTACAGCTTTTAGCAGCACAGGTTCGGCATCATCTTTGCTACTTACAAATGGTGAGCTTTGGTTGTTGACTGCTACAATCCTCAATTTCTCAATGTGTACATGGAATGATCTGAATGATTGAATAGAGTAATACACACACACACAAACACACAAACACACACACACACACACACACACACACACACACTGGATACCAAATTAATTAGTTCGTCCTCCTATTGACTGATCTTGTTGACTGATCTTGGCTGGTAACCATAGCTGCAGAGAGGTTGTGATTACAGTAGCCATGTTGTGTCTAGAACAAGGTGCTTTGCAGCTCTCCTCCCCATCTTCCAGCTCATATATTTTTTCCATCCCCTCATTTGTGATGTCCTCTGATCCTTGAGTGGTGTTGATATAGATGTCCCATTTCGGGCTCAACACTCAAGGGTCATTTATTCTGACACTCTGACCAATGATGAAACTCTGAATTAACTACTGACTAGAAAAGAGAATTTTTCCCTGCCCAAGGCTGAGGGCAGCACTCATCTCTGAGCATAAAACATAAATATTTAGAAGACTGTATAACAACATGTCATTTAGCAAAACAACAATAGTTGGTTCCTCTTTAGAGCATATGACTTCCTAAGCCACGAGCTTTTGACTAAGTTTACAGTACCAAACATAAACTCTCTCCTATAGAGCATGCCTCACATCCAAGCCTAAAGCAGTTGTTTAACCCAGTAACTATTGTACCAGTAGCACATCTTGCCTGGAAAGTTAGTATTTTAGGATATAGGGTTGGCTATAGGGTACTATTGATGTTCTTTTTCTCCCAGTGACCTACATAACACATTCCAGCACTATGAAAGCTAGTCAGAAGAGAAGAAGTTTTTATGACAGTTCCAATTTGAATTCTCTATATCCTGCTACCAAAACCTATTGTGTCTTCAGCAATAGAGTCTTACCAGCTAGCTATGCTGAGCAACCAAGAACAATGTCAAAAGCTTGTATTGTTTCAGGGACTTTTAAGTGCTCCCTGACCAAACACTTGTTAAAGATGTATCCCACACCTGCCACTGATATTCATGTAATAATCCAGTTCTTCTGGAGAACCATTGTCTATTCATGTAAAGTATCTGTCTTCAACTCCTGTTTTTTTAATTATATATTTTAATTAGCTTACAAAGCAGTAAAGTTTCATATGGTGTTTCAAGTTATTTATTATTTATTGGAGGGGTTGCCACAGCACGTGTGTTAATGTCAGAGGACCACTAGTGGGAGTCAATTCTTCGACCATGTGGGTTCTGGGGATCAAAGTTGGGTCCTCAGGCTTGGCAGCAAATACCTTTACCTGTCTATGCATCTCACCAGCCTTGCACTATAAATCTTAATGAGGTATGTTATATAAGCTACATTTATGTGTCTGTTTAATCGAGATATATTATATAAGCTACATTTATGTGTCTGTTTATCGAGATATATTATATAAGCTACATTTATGTGTTTGCTTATCTAAGGTTGCTCTATAAGTTTCACATTTCATGTATTGTTAGAATGAATTAGGAGACTGAAAAAAGTTCTTGGACTACCTAAAAGGTGGAGAACAAAACAAATTAAAAAAAAAATAGTGGTACAATCCTGTGGAAAATTCCATTCTATAAACTAACAGACAACCAACGTAATAGATACAAGTAAAAATTACTCCTAACTTCCATACTAGCCTAGGAAACGCTGTGGGTGGTACTGAGAGAAAAAAAAAAAAAAAAAAAAGCATGCTCCCTGCCATTTGGTTGCTCAGTTTTACTGAACTCTGACTTCCTCTTCTGGCCTGAATTACAATGGGAGTATTGAATCCAATCTGCAGTTACCTTTGCATATTTTGTGACTTCAGACATTTAGAGTATGATTCACTGTGTGACTAATCTTAAAATTTCTTCAAACCAACAGTGTTCATTTTACTTTCTCTGGTTTTCCTGTAATGTGCTAACTTCGTAGCCTGCTTTTGGAGGTGTTAATCTAACGGATTGATGGTTGATTAAAAAAAATCAGTATATTCATTCCTCACCTCATGCCTTCATCTGGAAAATGAGATCTGGACAATTTCTAACTAATAGGTTTCATGATAAGATAAGTTTGTGGAGCTAGAGAAAGGACTTAGTGACTAAGAAAACTTGCTGCTATTGCAGAGAAGCCAGGCTCAGATCCCAGCATCCACATGGTGGCCCACAACCATCTGTTACTCCAGATCAAGGATTTCTCCTGTCCTCTTCTGGCCTTTGTGGGCAACAGGCACTCATGTGGTACAGAGACATGCGTGAGGCCACAGCAGCCACACGTGTAAAATAAAAGTAAGTTAATTTTTAAAAAAGAAAAAAAAAAACCTTCAGAAGTAAATTTGGCATCTAGAGAGATTGTGCAGCAGTAATGAGCACATGCTGCTTCCTGGAGAACTAGGTATGGTTCCCAGCAGCCAAGGTGGGTGGTTCACAACTGCCTGTAAATCCAGCTCCTGGGTATCCAGTACCTGCTGACCTCTGTGGGTATCTGCGCTCACATACACATAACTCCACACAGACACACACAGACACACACAGACACACACACACACACACACACACACACACACACTTTAAAATCATTTTTAAAAGATCCAGTCGTAAAATTATAGAAAATGCCAGGCATGATAGTCAGTTTTGTTTGCTGTATATTGTGCAGCGCTACTAGTCATTTACTTATTTCCAGTGTTTTGAGTACTTTAGTACATAAATAACGGAGTGTGTACTTGGTGATATGCAAGAATACAATACAATACAATAAAAGCAAAAACATCCACTAGGGTCATAAAATCAGTGGCTCCTTTAAGTCACTGTTGCCACAGATTCTCCAAATGGAGAACACCATGGCTTCTGGGTGCATAGAACTTTTTCAGTTTGTTTTCTGATATCAAATTAGATATTTGTGTAATAAAACCCCAACGTTGTGGAAATATTTAATTTGGAAAATAAAATGTTCCCATTTCTAATATCACCTGATTGTCTACTCCCTACAGCTAATTAATGGTGATAACCTATGCAAATTTGCATGTGCTTTCCTAGCCTACACTAATTGATGCACATGCTTTCTAAAATAAGATTACATTGCACATTTGCAGAAAGCTTCTACTCACTTAAAATATGTCTTTGGTGCCTACATCAACACATTTAGTACCTTCTCAAGAACACAAACTCAGGGATGCATTTTGGGGCCCTCAGGCACCTCCTCACAGGGTAGAGAGAGTCTAGGTCTGAGGAGAAAAGCCCTATGGCTAATCCTTGCACTGCCCATCACTGATCCTTTCTCTCCAACCAATGACCTAAGAAGGAGCATCAGGAGAATTACTCAGACGGGTCCTGTCAATGTATACAAAATGGTCCCATCATCTCAAAGGAAAAACCGAATGAAGAAGACACATTTATTTATCCTGAGGATGAATGATTCCTGAGGATCGTAGAAACATTTCAAATGCCACACCCAATACCCACGGAGCAGAACTCAGCCTTGGAGTGTGGAAGCCCAGTCATGCACAACCTACTTGAAGCCAAAAAGCAAATTTGACTTGAGGATGCTAAAGACAAGTGAATATTAAAATTGCCAAAGGATGCCATTCTTTTTCCCTTTGTTAACACTACCTTGAAATCCTCTTCCTACCACCTAGAGATTTACTTTCAAGTGATTAAGTCCTCTTTGTCTTTTCTACCTTTTTGCCTGTTTCAATTACAAAAGAGCTGACATTTTTAAGCCCAATGCCAATACATCAAACATTAAGTATCCATTTCCATGCAAAGCACACGGTGCATAATTGCATACTGTATTGCAACAGAGGTAATATTTGATTTGTACTCCAAGCTTTCACCTAAAAGAGCATACTCAGAGCACAGAGTATTCAGATTACTGGAGACCTTCGTTAAACAGTAGGCACAACTGAAGACTCTCCGACAGGAGCGAATAGTTGTCGCAGAGAGGATGCTATAGTGTTTGGCAAAAACAATAAATAAGAAACATTATTACACCAAGCAAGGACATTTCTGGGGTGCATAGATTCCTCCATCCTGTCCACCAGAAAGCCAGAGCCATGGTGTTGGGGGCTGAGTTGGGAGTTTTTGCTGCAGACTAGGGAATTAATGAAAGCGGGGTTATTGTGAAAGAGAGCCTTATAACTCTGCAGCTCCCCAAGACACTGAACTCTCTGGAGGCCATTGTCCAATTTGTTGAAGGTTATGTGATTCAAAATTGTACAGGGAAAAGCTCAGAGTGGTCAAGGGACCAAAGCTAAAGTGACAGGTATGCTGTGTTCTGGGCCTTTTCACTCTGCAGTCACTAGGCACCTAAGTGCTGGTAAGTCAGGCTGGGTGCTCAGTTCTGTTTACTTTTGCCTCAAACTGATGCGCATTAACTTTTCAGAAAAATTTTTACTGAGAAATAAAATGTATTTATTAGTCATGGGACTTATGGCTGTCTCCACCTGTTTGTTTCAGATACCATTGTTCTTATCGCTTCAATAGCAGTTGTTTCTGCAAAAACTCAGGGTAATATTTTTGCCACGTCAGCGCTCAGAAGTCTCCGGTTCCTACAGATCCTGCGTATGGTGCGCATGGACAGAAGGGGAGGCACTTGGAAGTTGCTGGGCTCGGTGGTTTACGCTCACAGCAAGGTAAAAAAAAAAGTTCTCTCTGCACTACATAGCAAAATTCTTGAAAATGTTCCATTGATTACAATAATGTTTAATAAATTTAGCACGAGCAGTTACAGACCGTGGTTCAAGCTATTTGGGGTTCTGGTACATAATGCATTACTTAAAAAAACCTTCATATACTTCCCAGAAGTAGGAAAATGATTGAGTTGTACATAGATTTCTTATTTCCCTTTTCAGAGATTCTTTTTAACCTCTAAAATGTTTCGTTTCTTTTATACCTAGGAATTAATCACAGCTTGGTACATAGGATTTCTCGTCCTTATTTTTTCATCCTTCCTTGTCTACCTGGTGGAAAAGGATGCCAATAAAGAGTTTTCTACATATGCAGATGCTCTCTGGTGGGGCACAGTAAGTATAAATCTGTTTTTAATCTATTGGCTATTATGAAATGTTGCCACTGAATATAATAAAGTGGTTTTCAGTGAATGGTCTCAATGAAAATATTAACTCTCAAAAGGGGATGGCTGTGGAGACGTATGGTATTTATTAAAGGATCTGATGGGTTTCTGTGCCTTTTTGAGCAAACAAAATTAAATTTACACATAAATTATCATTTATATTTTTCAGGTGCTCAGTTGTTTCCAAAGTAAAAATATATCATATTTGAAAATAGAAAATGTTAACAGGATTATTTGTTTTAACGTTGTAAACTTAAATAGATAACTGATAAATTGATTCATTACTCTAGGGGGGAAAAGGGTTTTTTGATTGTCAAAAGAATGAATGGGAGAAGTATGGTGACACATGCCTACAATCTCAGCACTCTGGAGGCTGAGGCAGGAGGATGTCAAGTTTGAGGCCAGTCTGGGCTACACAGTATAAAACTTTCAAAAAATAACAGAACAAAAAAATAGAATAGCAGCTGATATAAAGTGAGAAGAATTAAATGCACCAGTCAATCAAGAAAGAGAAGGTGGGGAACAGCCTGTGCAAACAGAGACCGTGGATACCTCATAAAATGTTCCATTCAAAAATCCCATTTGCCTTTACATTGTCACAAATATTTTCCAAACAAGTAGAACTTACAACTATCATACAAATAGAAAACAAATGCATCCCACCTATTACATTTAATTCATTATTTGGAATATACCAATGAAGAAACCAGTGAAGTGTCATAGTCAGTTCAGAGTCCTGATCAAAGCACAAAGAATTACCAAATGCTGGGATAGTGAAACACATGGACAGATGGAGGAAAATGTGGCTGCTTTCACAGCATGGGGAACAGATCAGTGAACAGCCACGGAGGAAAATGTGGCTGCTTTCACAGCATGGGGGAACAGATCAGTGAACAGCCACAGAAGAAAATGTGGCTGCTTGCACAGCGTGGGGAACAGATTGGTGAACAGCCACTAGACATAATATATTTACATGTAGAAAAGGTAAAATTATTTTATACTGCTGTGTGTTATCTACAACTTACAGAGTTGTAGGATAGCTCAAAAGTCATGAAGACGTAGACTCCAATAGTCAGGAAAGGGTGTACTGTGAATAATGCATTTTTTCTTTCAGGTAAAAGTTTTCCTCGCGTTGTAAAGAATTTACAAACAGTCAATTGGAACTTACACCCTAATAAGAAGTTTACAGTATGCAGGAGTAATGTACACAACATAAAAATTACATTTCTTTTCATTTTCTACTTTTACAAGATTCCAAAAGGGAGTTGTATAGAAATACACAAAATTTATAATAGCATAAAAAATATTTTTATTTCGTTCTTGAGATTATAATTATAACATTTCTCTCTTGCATTTTCTCCCTTCAAACCTTCCCATGTATCCCTCCTCCTTCAGATCCATGGCTTCTTTTTTCACTAACTGTTATTGCATGTATATATACATACATATTCCCAGATATTACCTGCTCAGTCCATATAATGTTATTTGAATGTACGTTTTCAGGGCTGACCATTTGGTGCTAGACAACCAATGGATGTGCTCTTCCATGGGGAAAGCCATCTCTCCCACTCCCAGCTTTTCTCAGTAGACTCTAATTCTTTGTGAAGAGTTGAGGCCTCATGGGCTTTTCCCCATCTACTTTGTCGTGCCCATTGGTGTTGTCCTTGTTCAGCTCCTGTTTGGACATAATGCTGATGAGACTTTATGGGTATCGCTTCTGATAGTACTAGGAGATACAACCTCATGGCACACTCCCAGATCCCCTGGTTCTTACGATCCTACCACCACCTCTACTGCAATGTTCCCTGAACCTGCAGAGCCCGTTTTGTAGATGAGTCCACTGGGGCTGGGCTCCACAGCTCTGCATTTTGATTGGTTGTGGTTTTCTCTAGTGGTCTCCATCTGTTGCAAAGAGAAGTTTCTCTGATGAGAGGTGAGGGCTGCACTTACCTTTGGGTAGAAGTAAATATGTTTATAGATTGTTGTTAGGGGTTATGCTGGTTTAGTAAGTTGGTAGTTGTAGATTCTCCTGCAAGGACCATGATGTCACTAGCACTGAGAGGTTTCCCAGGTTTCCAGCACCAGGAATAATTTCCCTCTTGTTTAGCAGAACTTGAGTCCAATTGGAGAGTCGTTGGTTACTACCAAGGTATGCATGCCACTCCTGTACCCATAAGAGTTGTTGTGCCATGCTGGTCTGTAGAAGTGGTTCACAGGCATCACAGTTGGCTAGGGCTGTTGGTTGCCTCCCTCTTTTGGAAGCTTGTGTAGTGCCTTCTGTTACCAACAAATCTAGTCATCAGGGAGGGGGCATTCAAGTCAGCTCCAGCTCAAGAGTTCCTGAGCCCTGTTTCTAAAGTGCATGGTGTCTTCAGCAATTGGGACTTAACTTCCACTCCCAGGATGTAACCAAGGGCAACAGCAATAGACTGTATGTTTTAGAAGACTCTTGGACAGCCCTAGCCGACAACTAAAAAGAGGACTTTCTCATGTCAGAATTGAAGTTTCTGTGATATGATCTTTGGCACTGGGAGGGAGCACCTTTGGCTCAGATGAGAAAAGTCCATTAAAACCCTGTATGTATATTATACATGAAATTACATGTGTTACAGGTTTCTTTTAGCTAAATAGTTAATAGTATGATTCCTTGTGGCTTCTTCAGAATCCTTATTGGTATTTTATCCACCCCTTCCTCCTTCTGTACTTACCTCCCTCCCTGCCTCCTCCCTAAAAATCCCCCCATTTTCTTTTTTCCTCGCTCAGATAACTTGCATCCTGCTGTTCCCCTTTGCACTCCTCCACATTTTCTTTTGTGTTTACCTCTCTCCTTCTCCCATTTGTGTAAAATTTTTCCACCCTTTTTTATCCAACAAGGAAAATTCACTTACAAATCACCCTTAATATTTCTTGAGTGCTAGCCAGCTGTTGGCTGAACTGGGAACATATCACCATCTTAAACTGTGACTGGAGCACTGGTAGGCTTGTGTTTACTCTTTGTGGAACACGGATGGAAGTTAGGGTTGTCCACTGCTCATCCAAAGGTCATCCATGTAACCTAGAACTCCTGTCAGAGACAATGAAAATTTGTCAGGACAAAATTAAACAGAACTTGATGTATTTCTTGGCTGTATAGTAGTGATTCAATAAAAATTATAGATACATTCATCTAAATTTTAGGCTTTTAAAGATGTTATCAGAGCCAGGCAATGGTGGCACAGGCCTTTAATCCCAGCACTAGGGAGGCAGAGGTAGGCAGATCTCTGTGAGTTCAAGGCCAGCCTGGTCTACAAAGCAAGTTCTAGGACAAGCAGGGCTATTACACAGAGAAACCCTGTCTGGAAAAACAAACAAACAAACAAACAAAAAATATTATCAGAATACATGTCTCCAAGATTATTCTGGTAATGGAGTAGACTATTATATTAATGGATCAGTTTCCAGAACCACTGGATAACAGGACGGGTTACACAATAAGAGAAAAGGCTTTGCTGAGTGCACGTCAGTCAGGAAATCAATATCTAAAATATATAAACTGTAAAAGTTCATCCAAAATTCTATCCAGTCAATAAATGAGCTGATGAACTAGACAGACAGTTCTCAAGAGAAGTCATACAAAATAGCCAATAGGTACTTGAAAAGGTATTCAAAACTTAGCCATAGAGGAAATGTAAATGAACACTGCTTTGGGATTTTCTCACCTCACTCAGAGTGGCTATGGTCAAAAAAACAAATGGCAGTAAATGCTGGTGTGGAGGTGAGGAAGAGAAAGACAGATAGACTGTTGATGGAATGGATACTGGAGAGCCACTGTGGGTATCACTGTGGAATTGCTTCAGCAAACTAAAACAAGGGCTATATCACTACCAGGTATATACCCAAGGGACTCTAAGTCAACACACCACGGAGACACATGCACACTCTTGTTTATTGTTGTGCTCTTCATAGTCTCTAATAGAAATCAAACTAGCTGTGCATGTTTTCTCTAGTATGGGAAGTCTGGATATAAGTGTGTGTGTGTGTGTGTGTGTGTGTGTGTGTGTGTGTGTGTGTGTACATGTGTGATCACACACACATGCACATGTGTACCCTTAGCCCCATGAAAGTAGGTGGAGAACCATGGGAGGGGAGAAAGAGATTGTATGCAAGTGGTAGGGAGAAGAGAGAGTGTGGAATTCGTGTGACATAAGATCAGGAAGGGAGGGGCTCTTCGTGGGGAGAAAGATGACCAGAAAAAGAAACCCAGCTGGGGTGTCAAAGGAATTGGGGAGAGGAATGATTAAGAACAAAATATAATGACATGTATGTGAGAAGTGCTACACAATAGAAAAAGAAAGAAAATGCCATGATGAAACTCGTCGCCTTGTATGTTAACTCACAATATTAATTTAACAAAAATGTTTTCATTTCCAACTCTTCCTCCCTTCACACAAGAAACACTGGGCATTTTGGAAAGAGAAGGATGGAACTCAGAAAGAGAGCTGACATTCTTGAAATACCTCCAGTCTGTAGAGGGAAAATGAAAACCTGTTACTCATGGTGCAGGAAAGTATTAAACTGAATGAGAGAAGGCAGTCTATACCCCAGCCTGTTTGCAGCAGCCTGGATTCAGGCTTACTGTTTGCTTCTCTTGGATAATTCAAATATATTTCAATTAATTGGGATACTCGGGGCACCTTCTTCCCTTTGAGATGCAGTCATTGGTGAATGAAGCCTGGCAGCTTTTCATCTCTCTTTCCATTCTTCTTCCTTTTCTCCTTATTACCAATACAAATTGCTGTATTGTGTGTGGAACCGTGTGTGGGAAACTCTTAATATACTCTCGCTTAGTCACCAGCTAGCTTCTCCTCCAGCACGACACACAAAACAGGCTTTCAAAGGTCATCTCTGTGATTTGCGGGGAGAAGCAGCAGATTTTTCAATGATTTCCACTTCAATAAAACTGTTTTGACT